CATTAACCAACCCTGGGTCGTTCAAATCCTGTATAATCGAAAACGCTAAAAGTAAGGTTGGCATTATCTAGTGATTTTCATGTGTCACATTGCGTATGTGGCCTGCCTTGTATATGTATAGTTTATAACAGTTATATCGCTTATATATAAAAAGCTGAACGTTTCTTTTTGTATTCCAAAAGTTTACTTAATAAAGCATATTAATGTAAATCAACATCTTAAGCCTACATTAACAAAAGAAGATAACGCATTAAAAAAAAAATTTTTTTTACTTATTTTTCAACAAAGTCTCCTGTCAGCTCTATACACTTAATCCAGTGATATTCCAACATTTTTATACCATCCAAAAAGTATGATTTGTCGATGTTGAGGATTGGTACGAATAAAAAGAATTGTTTGAAGAAAATTAGCACGAGAGCTTTATTTTTATATACGGGAAGAAACCGGAAGTAAGTTAGACAAGACCGACATAGTAAGAGAGAAGCGCTCACCGTCTACAGCGCCATACAGCGCCACCGCTCAACGGCATAGCGGGGCGTTTACATGACAACACCCCAACTTATCGTAAGCTACAATCTAAAAAGGAACTCAAGGAAATAAAGCTAAGGTACATTAATATCACTGGCCTGATGAGCCTTAGTGACTCATCCAAATGGCCCAAAAGTTAGGATGATGGTCAGTTGGACTGAAGGTCCAAACCAACTCTTTGGCTTACGATACTCTGCAGACCCATACGTTGAGCGCAGAATTTCTGCTTCTGGCCCGTCACTCCTTTGGTGAGACAGTCAGCTACATTTTCGGCAGTTGGAACGTGCAGTAATTCAATAGTTCCGTCGATCGCCTTTTCGCGTACATAGTGGTGTCGCGTATCAATGTGCTTGGTTCTGGCCCGATAACAGTCCGTAGTCGCGATGTCGAGGGCACTCCGGTTGTCACATTCGAGGTGAATTGCCTCAGCTTTCTCGAACTGCTCATGAAACTGCTTCGGCCAGACTGCTTCCTGCGTGGCCGTTGCCATGGCCATGTATTCTGCCTCGGTTGAGGACAGAGCTACCGTTGGTTGACGTTTGCTGAGCCATGAGATACTGCCTGTGCCCAGCATAAAAACGTATCCGGTGCATTACCGGCGGGTGTCCACATCCGAACCCCAGTCAGCATCAGCAAACCCATGGAGCTTCAGGTCATCGGAACGAATAAAAAGAATTGAATAATTAATTGTTCCTTTCAAATACCTGAAGATCCGCTTGACGGCGGTCCAGTGAACTTGTCCGTGGCTTGTGTTAAACCTGCTCACGTTCCCAGCAGCAAATGCAATATCTGGTCGCGTTCCTTGAACCAGATACAAGAGACATCCTACAACCTCTTGGTAGGGAATGTTACTTGTGTCTTCCCCTTCCTTCTTCATGTTGATTGACAGTTTTTCATTTGGAACGCTGGGAGTCGGCAACGGGTTCGCAAATTCCATTCCGAACCGCATCAACATGTTCTTGATGTACGACGATTGGTCAATTGCTATTCCATTATCTACGTATATTATGTTGATTCCAACGCACGTTCGGGCTCGGCCCAAGTCTTTCATTTTGAAGTGAGTCCCCAAACTCAAGCTTCAGGCGGTTCAGCACTTCCTTGTACCCGCCAAAAAATTAGAAAGTCATCAACGTAGATTGCCACGATGAGTGATGTATTCTTTGTGTGGTACACACACGGGTCCATTTTCGACTTCTCGAGCCCGTACGATCGTAAAACGTTGTCTAAAACGATGTTCCATTGACGACCACTCTGCTTCAAGTCGTACATAGCCCTCTTTAGCTTGCACACGCGACCACTTCCATCGCTGTACGAAGGCGGTTGCTCGATGAAGATTTCTTCATCTAAATCGCCTTGAAGGAAAGCAGTCACCGCATCCATCTGGTCAATTTTCATATTCCACTTTACGGCCAGTGCGATCAAGAGACGAATCGATGTGTAACGCACTACCGGAGAGAATGTCTCGACGTAGTCAAGTCCATACTTCTGAGAGCACCCCTTGGCAACCAGGCGAGCCTTGTATCGCAACACAGACCCATCCTCGGCGAGCTTTCTCTTGAACACCCATTTGGTCTTGATTGCTTTCCTACCCTCGGGTAGTTCCTCCAATGTCCACGTTCCGTTGGCTTCCATTGCTTGCATTTCTTCGTCCATCGCTAGTTTCCATTCAACAGCGTGCGGTCCAGCCAGCGCCTCTTCCGCTGTTTCAGGTTCGCCAGAACGCTCGATGTCTTCCGCTCGGTAGGTAACGTAGTCTCCGAGTCGTTCAGGTGGCTTCCGGGTTCGCCGCGATTTCCGCAATGCCTCTTCCGGTGATAGTTCGGGTTCGTTGCCTTCGATGTTGTTATCCGGCGTGCCTGTAGTCCGACCATCTGCAGCGTTGTTGACCGCGGTTTCGCCACCATCATTGCCTCGATCATCTTCGGGATCTCTCTGGCGTGCGCCCCCAACTCCTTTCGGTTGTTTTTCTGGCTTCTCTGGAATGACGTCGACATCATCTTCAATAAAATGTTTGACTATTACCTTTGCTTTCCGAGGTTCCAGGAACTTGACGTCACGGCTCACAAAAACCTTTCCGTTTTTGACGTCTAGGCACCGCATTGCCTTCTGCGTTTCCGAATATCCGACGAACACCAACTGCTTCGATTTTGGATCGAGCTTTTTTCTGTAGATTTCGGGGATGAGTACCATTACTGGCGTGCCGAAGATTTTCAAGTTTGACACGTCAATTCGTTTTCCACGCCATACTTCCTCTGGAACTTTTCTTCCAAGCGAACGGTTCACCGATCGATTGACGACGTAGGCTGCCATGTTAACCGCTTCAGCCCAAAAGCGTTTTTCCAATTCCGCATCAATGAGTAGGCACCTTCCACGTTCCACCAGTGTCCGGTTCATGCGTTCCGCTACACCATTTTGTTGGGGTGTGTAGGCGCATGACGTCTCGTGGATGATTCCAGCATTTTTGAAAAATGCCTTGTTGGCGCCGTTTACGAACTCAGTCCCGTTGTCGGACCTAATGCGCTTAACTCGTCGATCCTGTCTGCCTTTCTACCATCTTCACGAAAGCCTTGAGGTTGTCACTCACCTCCGCTTTTGATTTTAGAAAATAGACGAATACCTTCCTGGAGAAATCGTCGATGAATGTCAACAGGTACCTGGCTCCTCCACTGGATGTCACTTCCATTGGCCCACATAAATCCGTGTGCACCAACTCCAGAATTTCCGTCGATTTAATTTCCGTATTCGACGAGTGAAATGGGGCCCGAGATTGTTTCCCCATCATGCACGTGATGCATTCCTTCACGTCTTCACCATTTCCGTCGAACTCGAGGCCGTCAACCAGGCCCTTTAATCGAATCATGTCGCCGATATTCAGGTGTCCGAGCTTCCTGTGCCAATCCATTGCATCTTTTTCCATTCCGTCGGCACCAACCATGTCGCCACTCGCCAGACGACACTCGATCGCATTGCTGTCTACCACGTATACACCATTCCGCATTTGCGCTTGCAGTAATATCTGACCTCTCGGGTTGTAAATCCGGCAGTCTGTTCCATCGAACTGTACCTTGTTTCCAGCTGCTGTGATTTCGCCACTGACAGCAAATTTGCCGCCAATTGCGGCACGTAGAGCACCTCCTTCTATTTGGATGTTCACACCGTCGATTGACACTAGCACCATGCCGCTACCAAGCACCTTCAACTTCTGGTTGTTGGCGGTCAAAATTTCCGGGAAATTTCCTGGCCGAAAATTCTGCAGGATGTTTCGGTGCGGCGTCATGTGTCTCGACGCTCCGCTGTCCAGGTACCAGTTCGTGCTGGCCACCATTCGATCGTTCACCATGAATGCATTCGTCAGCTTCGCGTTCTCCGATTGAGCTTTCGGTTTCGATTTGCATTCGGACCGCTTGTGACCGACCTTGCCACAGTTGTAGCATTTAAAACCGAATTTCTTTTTGTCCGATTTCTTTCCGCCGCTTGCGCCAGCTTTCGGATGACCTAGGAGTGCTGACGATGACTCACCTTGATGGCCTCTGTCCACATCGAGCAATTTGGTCTTTACACTATCGGTGGTCAGTGCCACTCCGCTACTTTCCAGTCCGAGAATGAGCGGACGATACTCCTCACCGAGTCCAGCCAGCATAATCGCACCGATCCACTCGTCAGTGATCGCGAATCCGATGCCAACCAATTTATTCGCCGTTGATGAAATCTCCGATATGTATTCCGTCATTGAGTTACATTCATCGCGGCGCACGGTGATGAGATGCCTCAGCAGCGTTATTTTCCGTGTGAGACCTTTGTCGTCGAACAGATGTTTCAACGCCGTCCAGACGCCAATCGCCGTCGTGTGACCTTGGATGTGCACGTAAAGTGATTCTTCCACCGAAACAATAATCCGAGCTCTCGCTTTTTTAACTTTTGTTGGGTCGGTTTCAGTGTTCGCTTCTGCAATCGTGCCATCGAGTTCCTCGAATTCAAGAACACTTTGCATTGCAAACTGCCACGTATGGTAGTTTTCCGAGCCGCGGAGTTTTTCGATAACAAATTCTTTTCCCATTGTTTCGATTCTAACCTTTTCACACGCGAGCTCAATACGATAGGTTAACCATGTAATTCCGCAATTTTGCCGAAATATTACTTTGCACAACAAAATACCGACAATTCCACTAATTTCTAATTCTCTGGGCCCATAACCTGTTGAGGATTGGTACGAATAAAAAGAATTGTTTGAAGAAAATTAGCACGAGAGCTTTATTTTTATATACGGG